AGATGCCATCATGTACTGTGTTGATCAGCCTCCACACAGGAGGTTGTGTATCAGCTGCGGTGGTAGCAGTGATCTTTGTGCTTGCCTTATGTTACCCAGAGAAGGTACTCTGGTGTTTCAGGCAATGGGCATGGCCATAGACCTCCCAAAAGTCTCTGTTCTTTTATTCAGTTATGAGGCTGGGTAGAGGGGCAAAGCTAGGTGAGGGCTGGTTCAGGCAAGTCTGCACCCTGGTTGCCCATGTATGGGCACAAGCAGCCACCCCAATGAGGATTGGATGGCAGTTCCATGGCCACTAGGGTGATGCTTCAGTGAGGAGTACAGCTGCTTCTGCTGAACAGAAGAGTCCACATGGGGAGTGGGGAGTAGCAGGCAGTAGTAAGCCCCACCCAGCTCCCACACATGTGGCAAGTCAGGCCTCACACCTGCAGTATTCCACCTGCAGCAACTACCTGAGTTTCAGGCAGCCTGCGCTCAGAACTCAAAATGACACAAGGCCTTCCTGAGGGAGACAAACCATGGCTTTCAGGCCATGTCCTTCCCATTTGTCCCATGAAGCAGGGACACCCAGCTCCTGTGCCCAAGGCTTTAGCAAACTTTCTACTTGTGCCTCAGTTCTGGACAAGGAGTTTCATGTTCAATCAGGATTATATCACAAATCTCAGTTAGGAGCTTCTCTTAACCAGTGACAGGAATGTGAGTTAGCTGGCTGACTTCTGCAAAGTACTCTGTGCCATAGGATCAAGAATGGCTTTCCCCGTCCCTACTGATGACTGGGAGTGCATGCAAAGTGTGTCCTGATGCTGCTCCTTCTCTTGTACTCCCCATTGCTCAGTACGTCAGCTCCAGTGCTCAGTAGGGTTAAGGTCTTCCTCCATGGCCTGGATTGCCATGTTCCCCAGTGGGAGTGCATACACCTGATGCAGTTCCTGCCACCCTCGTGCTGGAGACTCAGTTTTCCACCTGGCTCATGGTGAAGGCTGCAGCCACCACTTCTTTCAAAGGGTCTGTGGTTTCATTCAGTTTTCCTGTTAAGTTCCTGCGTTGCTTCTTGGAAGAAAGTTCATAGCATGTCTCTGCACTATTTGGTCTTTCCGAGTGGGAGATGCACACTAACAAAACTTTCAGTCTACCGTCTTGAAAAACTACTAACAATGTAATTTTGTATAAGAAAACCAATCAGTTAACAGCCAAAACAGAAAAAAAGAAGAATAGACCTTCCTAAGCAAGAGGGTATTCTATGGCACTCTGCTCCCAGATTTAATTTGTACCATTGGCTGTTTGGGTCTCTAAGCTGCCAGCCTGGAAGTTCTCCAGCAGCTCTCTTTGGTCTCAAGTCTCCTAGGCCACATTGCAGATTTAGACTTGACAGGCTTCAAAATTAATCTGTACACACACACACACACACACACACACACACACACAAATATACGCACGCATTCTATTGGTTCTACATCTATGAAGAATCCAGACTAATGCAGTCACTAAGAGTTGTGCATTTTTCAAAGAACATTAAATTTAGAAGATTTTTTGTAAGGACAAGACCACAGTATACTTTTGTACTTTTAGAAATGTTTTATTTATTAAAACTCATATCTAGAAGAAAAATCTTACAAGCCACTTTACCTTAAGAATTTCAAATTCGGCCGGTGCGGTGGCTCAAGCCTGTAATCCCAGCACTTTGGGAGGCCAAGACAGGTGGATCACGAGGTCAGGAGATCGAGACCATCGTGGCTAACACGGTGAAACCCCATCTCTACTAAAAAATACAAAAAACTAGCAGGGCAAGGTGGCAGGCGCCTGTAGTCCCAACTACTCGGGAGGCTGAGGCTGGAGAATGGCGTAAACCCGGGAGGCAGAGGTTGCAGTGAGCTAAGATCCGGCCACTGCACTCCAGCCTGGGCGACAGAGCTAGACTCCATCTCAAAAAAAAAAAAAGAATTTCGAATTCATTTTTGACCTCAGTAGTCAAATTCCCTTAGGAATTTGTATTTTAATTTCAAGTTAATATGAAAGATTTTTCTGAATACTTCAAATCAATAAGTTGCAGATGAAACATTTCCAAAAGTGAATGAAAAACTTACTGCTAAATTTACTTAAACGTATTTCTAAATTATGTTATAAAACATGCTGCATGCTTACATTTTATGTTCTAATTTATTTTTATGTCTTCCTAAGATTATTATCAACTGTACTTTATCTTTTTACTAAGGTCTCTGTAATATTACTTAGACATGCTTCTAGAGCTAACTTCTAAGTATAAAATAATATGAATATGTACGTAAGCATCTATGTTTACAATATATGGATATATGGGCATATTCCTATTCTTATTTGAAGATTGAATTTTGGTAGGCTCCCATAAAAATATTAGGATAGAAGCCCTCAGGCAGTTTGAGACTCTCTTCTATAGTTATATGTCGGGGCTTATGATACCACGGTTTTTTTATTATTATTATACTTTAAGTTCTAGGGTACATGTGCACAACGTGCAGGTTTGTTACATATGTATACATGTGCCAAGTTGGTGTGCTGCACCCATGAACTCGTCTATCTCCTAATGCTATCCCTCCCCTCTCCCCCTCCCCACAATAGGACCTGGTGTGTAATGTTCCCCTTCCTGTGTCCAAGTGATCTTATTGTTCAATTCCCACCTATGAGTGCTATAAGTGAGAACACGGGGTATTTGGTTTTCTGTTCTTGCAATAGTTTGCTGAGAATGATAGTTTCCAGCTGCATCCATGTCCCTACAAAGGACACAAACTCATCCTTTTCTATGGCTGCATAGTAGTCCATGGTATATATGTGCCACATTTTCTTAATCCAGTCTGTCACTGATGGACATTTGGGTTGATTCCAAGTCTTTGCTATTGGATACCACGGTGTTTTAAGATTAGATGTGTCACATCAGTTTTACTTTCTGCAATTGGGGCTTCCCTTTGGAATGATGTACTTTCTAGTTTCAGTCAAGAAACATAAAGTAATTGATTTGCTGCCACTGTAATATACTAATTGAGTCTGTTAACATTAATTTAAAAAATGAAGAATGTATTTTATAGGAATTTTAATATCATTAGTGGGAAATAGAACATGTATTTTAGAAAACCAGAAGACTGAGTTAACATAAACAGCTTTCCTTTTTAGAGCATTGTCTGATATGAGCATCTTGGAATTACACTGTTGGACTCTGTTTTGGCTGCGTTACTGTGTGTTGCAACTTGTATTGATTTTATTTCTTGCACCCACTTACCCCGTTTATGTCCATGATTGCCAATGTGGATTTACTCTTTCCACTCTGTGTGAATCTTGTACATTTTCTGGGTCTACCTGCCTAATTGTTTCTTGCATTTTCTTCCTTTACTGCTTATGTCAATTCAAATAAGAGAGTATTTATGTTTATAAACATAAATTACATTAGTACTGTCTTACATTGAAAAACTAATCAAAATTAAATGCCACTTGTCATATTCATCTTTTTAAAATTTTATTTGTGTTGAGAACTCATAATTTTATACATGTATGGGGTAAAATGCAATGCTTCAGTGCATGTGTATAGTGTGGATTGAACATCTCAGACTATTATGTCCATCACCTCATACACTTATCATTGCTTTGTGGTGAGAACATTTAAGATCCATTTTTAAATGAAATACACATTACATTACCATTAACTATAGTCACCTTGTCCTGCAGTAGTTCACCAGAACTTATTCCTCCTGTGTGCATGAAACTTTGTACCCTCTGATCAACATTTCCCCTTTCTTCATCCAACCTGCCCAAGTCACAGGTAACTACTATTGTACTCTCTCCTTGTAGGAATTCTAATTTTTAGATCTCACACATAAGTGGGATGACAAAAGATGTTTTCTTCTTGTCAGGCTTATTTTACTTATTATAATGAGATATCACCTCATATATGTTATATTAGAATGATCATTATCAAAAAGAGGAAAGTTAACAAGCATTGGCCAGGATGTGGAGAAAAGGGAACTCTTATACACTGTAGATGGGAATGTAAATTAGCACAGCCATTTTGAAAAACAGTGTAGAGGTTTCTCCCAAAACTAAAAATAGAAAAATAGAATTACCACATGATCCAACAATTCCACTTCTGGGTAGATGCATAAAGAAATTGAAATCAGTATGTTGAGTAGATACCTGTGCTGTCTTGTTTATTGCAGATATTCACAATAGCCGAGACTTAGAAACAACCTAAATGCCCATCAACTGATAAATGGATAAAAGAAAAATAGTGGCATGTAATACACAATGGAATACTATTCAGCCTTACAAGAAATGTAATTCTGTCACCTGCAACAATGTGAATGAACGTGGAAGACATTATGCTAAGTGAAATTCCTTTTGTGGAATCACCCTTGTGTAAACGTATTCTCTCTATAAAATATCTATTAAAAATAAATGAAATATCTATTGAGCAATGTGTACCCATAGACTTTTTGAAATTGTTTCACTTCACTGAAATTATTATCTTTGAAATGATAATTGCCCTTTGATACTCAGAAGGTCACAGTTTGAATGTGGAAGTCCTTGTAAGTTCACCACTGTAAAATAAAGGGGAGCTCTGGCAGTTGTACACTGAACTACAAAAATCATATGTGTGGGATCTTAATGAATTTCTTCTTAATCAAGAAACTTGCATAAGGGGCATAGCAAGGTCATGACTTTCTGGGTCTCATTTGTACTGAGTGATTTCTTGGGTTCCTCTGGATCTTTGTGCTAATTCTTCTTGGGTGGGGAAAGCATGTAGAACAATGTTTAAGATGTTCTGTTCAGGGAATGGAAAGTGATGAATCATCTAGTTACTAACCATAGGAAAGTATTAAAAATTGAGCACAATTCTTCCTAGTTCTAGGAATTGTATAGATATACTTCTATATATATCAGTCAGCCAAATCTTAGGCTAATGAGGTAGGCTGTTCATCACTTTATGAAGATATAGGAAGCCCCAAACCTCTAAGTTTTATGTTTGTTTTTAATAAGAGAGATAGGAAATTCAATTCAAATTCTTATGTATTCGAAGTTTTTCTTCTAAATTTTCCAATTTTCTTATTTTACATGTCTGTAACTCACGTATCAAGAGGGGGATTGATCATCAAAAGCACAATGGTAACTCTTTGAAATACAAAACACTCCATTTAAAGACATCTTTGTTTCTCCTCTGGTGGAGATAATCTTGATTTATGGAAGAAGTTTTTTCAGAGCCTCTTTCACATCCTTATTCCTTAGGCTGTAGATCATGGGATTCAACATGGGGAATACCACAGTGTAAAATGTAGAAACTATTTTGTCCATATCAAAAGAATAGCTAGATCTGGGGAGAGCGTAGATGTAGAGAATGGAGCCATAGTATAAAGTGACAGAGGTCAGGTGGGAGGAGAATGTGGAGAAGGCTTTGAGGCGGCCCTGGGAGGAGGAGATCCTCAAGACAGTGGCGATGATAAAGAGGTAGGAAGCCAGGATGAGCACCATGGGGCAAATGACATTGGAGGCCAGCAGGAAGTACATCAAAAACTTATAGCTGCCCTTCTCGCCACAGGCCAGCTTCACTAAGGGAAGCAAATCACAGAAAAAGTCATCAATGATGTTTTCATGGCAGAAGGTTAAGGAAAACATTTTCTTGGTGATGATTGAAGAGTTAATAAAGCCACCAAAATATGAGGCTGTTACCAGCAATGCACACAGCTTTATGGACATGGCCCGAGCATAAAGCAGGGGCTTGGAGATGGCCATGTAGCGGTCATAAGCCATGGCAGTCAGCAGGTAGCACTCACTGTAGGCCAGCCCTGCAGAGAAGAAGAACTGACACAGGCAGCCAGCAAAAGACATGCTTTTGTCTTCAGAGATGCAGGTCACTAGGATCTTTGGGGTGTAGACAGAAGAATACCAGAGATCCAGAAATGACAGATTTCCAATGAAAAAATACATGGGTGTGTGAAGGTGGGAGTCATTACAGATCAACATGATGAGGGTGCTATTTCCTACCACAGTCAGAGAGTACACTCCCAGGAACACCACAAACAGGCCCAGCTGCATCCCTGGATCTGTGGTGAAGCCCAGCAGGATGAACTCAGTCACTGTGTGATTGCTCCTCTCCATGGCTGTAAGGAATTTCACCTACGGGGAAAGAAAATGAGCTCAGTTTGCATCACTGTCATGAATATGTAGAATTATGCTACATAAGATCACATTTGCAGTAATCCTTGAAGTCTAGAACCAACAATCTGATTGATTGTTTTAGAAAGTTTTCATTTTGCAACAGACTTTGCAATTATGTTTTCAATTCTAAATTTCTTAAGTTGTTTAATTATGTTTTTCCTTTGGGAATGACTCTTCAAGGAAAGAAAAGATGTACTCATAATTTCTATTTTTCCTATTCTTTGATCCTCTTCATCTTGTCAATTTTCTCTTTTGCTAAATGTATAAATTTCTATTTTTAAATATCACTTGTTTGTCTTTAAAATACTGGGCATCCCTCTTTTATATATAGTTTAAAAAGAATAAAGTATTTTTCCTTGAGTGTTTCTATGCATTGAAACATTATGAAAGCATTATAAATTTGTATCTCATAATATTATAGGCCTAAGAATATACTAAGAGAAGTGTAATGGAAAAAGAGAAAAGATACAAAGTTATGGGGAAAATGTGTACAGAAGAATGATATACAATGATGAAATTACAAAGTACACAGTATTTACTATATTTTACGTATATGTTATAACAAACACAATAATAAACACCAATTTTAAATGTAAGTTATGTTTAGTACAGTATCACTTAATATGACTTGAAAATCCACACACTCTTTTCAGGTTTCTCTTTGTACAGAAGTACAAATGCTACCAGAGAAATGGGTAGAGAGACATATATCTAGTAAATGTACATCTGTCTTACACTTTAAAGACAATTCTTAACACTAACTTCTCATTAACCTAAGTCATTTTGTAGGTAAATAAATTAAAATTCAAGTGTACATGATTTTTATTTGTATGTCCATCCCCTTGGGACCTAGGAAAAACACTTGGTTCACACTCAATTCTCAATATTAGCATTAATAAACATCAGTATTAACAAACTGCTATTTCCGAGGAAATATAGAACAATATAAGATTGTTCCACTTGAGCATTTGCTTCTTCTACTTCACTCAGCTTTCAATGATCTCACATGGCTAAACCCAGTGATGAAGTCCTCATCTGATTAGATCTACCTGCAGCATTTGTCATGGTTTATCGCTCCTTCACTGCTGGAAAATCTTTACTTGGTTTTCAGGTCGTCATACCTGTCTGGTTTGCTTCCACTTCTCTTGCTGCGTGTGTCTCAGTGCCATAGAACCGACTTTTGAATTTCGGAGTGCCCTCAGAATCAACGCTTGAACTTCTTGTCTTCCCCGTCTGCCATCAGTCTCTGGGAATATCATCCAGTCTGATGACTTTAAATGCTTCTACATGCACATGATTCAAACGTTACCTCTCCTGACCATGCCTCCTCCCTGAAGTGAGACTCATAGATTCAAACATCTAATTAATATTTTTTCCTATAATGTCTCCTGGGTATCTCCAGAAGATTGAGTTCACAGGGAATACTGTTTTATCATTGTATTCTAAGAGCTATATTATTTGCTTACATGTTACCACTAAGAAGAAATTTCTACTAATAATCCTTTTAACCCTATCCTCATTCAGTCTTCTCCACTGCAGTAAATAGCATGATTCCATGTTAGGAACAGTCATTTTATGTTATTCTTGACCACTCTCTTGTTTTCACTGTTGCTTTTTAATTAGCAACATCTCCTTGATTCTTGAAACACACCTAGAACCTGACTAATTTTTCCCAGATCCAATGTTTTCACTCTATATGAGGCCATGATTAGCCTCTAATTGGTGTTCCTGCTTCTATTCTTATCCCACTTGAGTCTTTCCACATGGCAGAATGGTCCTGTTAAAATTCCAGTTAGGAGGGGGCGGAGCAAGATGGCCAAATAGGAACAGCTCCAGTCTCCAGCTCCCAGTGCGAGCGACACAGAAGACAGGTGATTTCTGTATTTTCAACTGAGGTAGCAGGTTCATCTCACTGGGTTGTGTTGGACAGTTGGTGCTGGTCCACAGGTGCAGACTGAGCAGCGAGAGCTGAAACAGGGTGAGGCATTGCCTCACTTGGGAAGCGCAAGGGGGAAGGGAATCCCTTTTCCTAGCCAGGGGAATTGAGACACACAACACTTGGAAAATTGGGTAACACCCACCCCAATACTGCCCTTTACCAAGAGTCTTAGCAAACGGGCACACCAGGAGATTATATCCCACAACTGGCTGGGAGGGTCCCATGCCCACGGAGCCTCCCTCATTGCTAGCACAGTAGTCTGTGATCTAATGGCAAGGAGGCTGGGGGAGGGGCACCTGCCATTGCTGAGGCTTAAGCAAGTAAACAAAGCAGCTGGGAAGCTCGAACTGGGTGGAGCTCACAGCAGCTCAAGGAGGCCTGCCTGCCTCTGTAGACTCCACCTCTTGGGACAGGGCACAGCTAAACAACAACAACAACAACAACAAAAAAGCAGCAGAAATCTCTGCAGATGCAAACGACTCTGTCTGACAGCTTTGAAGAGATCAGTGGATCTCCCAACACGGAGGTTGAGATCTGAGAATGGATAGACTGCCTGCTCAAGTGGGACCCTGACCACTGAGTAGCCTAACTAGGAGACATCCCCCACTAGGGGCAGACCGACACCCCATATCTCACACGGTGGAGTACACCCCTGAGAGGAAGCTTCCAAAGCAAGAATCAGACAGGTACACTCGCTGTTCAGAAATATTCTATCTTCTGCAGCCTCTGCTGCTGATACCCAGGCAAACAGGGTCTGGAGTGGACCTCAAGCAATCTCCAACAGACCTACAGCTGAGGGTCCTGACTGTTAGAAGGAAAACTATCAAACAGGAAGGACACCTACACCAAAACCCCATCAGTACGTCACCATCATCAAAGACTAGAGGCAGATAAAACCACAAAGATAGGGAAAAAGCAGTGCAGAAAAGCTTGAAATTCAAAAAATAAGAGCACATCTCCCCCTGCAAAGGAACACAGCTCATCGCCAGCAACGGATCAAAGCTTGATGGAGAATGACTTTGACGAGATAAGAGGAGAAGGCTTCAGTCCATCAAACTCAGAGCTAAAGAAGGAATTACGTACCTAGCGCAAAGAAACTAAAAATCTTGAAAAAAGAGTGGAAGAATTGATAACTAGAATAATTAATGCAGAGAAAGTCATAAACGAAATGACAGAGATGAAAACCATGACACGAGAAATATGTGACAAATGCACAAGCTTCAGTAACCGACTTGATCAACTGGAAGAAAGAGTATCAGCGATTGAGGATCAAATGAATGAAATGAAGTGGGAAGAGAAATCTAAAGAAAAAAGAAGAAAAAGAAATGAACAAAGCCTGCAAGAAGTATGGGATTATGTAAAAAGACCAAATCTACATCTGATTGGGGTGCCTGAAAGTGAGGGGGAAAATGGAACCAAGTTGGAAAACACTCTTCAGGATATCATCCAGGAGAACTTCCCCAACCTAGTAGGGCAGGCCAACATTCAAATTCAGGAAATACAGAGAATGCCACAAAGATACTCCTCGAAGAGCAACTCCAAGACACATAATTGCCAGATTCACCAAAGTTGAAATGGAGGAAACAATCTTAAGGGCAGCAAGAGAGAAACGTCAGGTTACCCACAAAGGCAAGCCCATCAGACTAACAGCAGATCTCTTGGCAGAAACTCTCCAAGCCAGAAGAGAGTGGCGGCCAATATTCAACATTCTTAAAAGAATTTTAAACCCAGAATTTCATAACCAGCCAAACTGAGTTTCATAAGTGAAGGAGAAATAAAATCCTTTACAGATAAGCAAATGCTTAGAGATTTTGTCACCACCAGGCCTGCCTTACAAGAGACCCTGAAGGAAGCACTAAACATGGAAAGGAACAACCGGTACCAGCCATTGCAAAAACATGCCAAAATGTAAAGACTATCGAGGCTAGGAAGAAACTGCATCAACTAACGAGCAAAATAATCAGTTAATATCATAATGACAGGATCAAGTTCACACATAACAATATTAACCTTAAATGTAAATGGACTAAATGCTCCAATTAAAAGACACAGACTGGCAAACTGGATAAAGAGTCAAGACC